GGGGTTCTAAATTAAGCGATCAATTATTAGACCCGGACGTCCCAACACTTGCTTCGCAAGACAAACTCAAGGTATCCCCTAAAGGGCTACCTTTCGTAATAAACAAAATATAATTCTATATATATATTTGTTGTTTTAAAAAATCATTCGTAAATATGGTCGGAAAGATACATAATATATCATTAAATCTAAATAATAAATATATCCTATATCGTATTATATATCGTCTATTAATATTTATTAATATATATAAATTAAATTCCCTATATACCAAACAATTTAACATATTTCTTAAATATATCATAATATATCTATATATCTTAAAATATTCAAATATATTTATTTAGAAAAAATAACAATTAAATTCCCATATTCGACAAATACAATAATTTATCAATTAAATATATTTTTTAAGAATATTTAAATTACAATTAAGATATATATATTTTAAATATATTTAAAATCGAAAATTATATTAATAATTATAAATATATTTATATTCAATTATTCCAATATGTATATAAAATTAAAATATATTATCTATTTATATATTTTTTATATATTATAAATAGAATTTAAATAGAATTTATATATATCAAATTATCACGTAATACGACGTTTTCGAAAATTCCAATCGTTCATTTGCTAAAATAAAAATAATTCCAATTAATTAATGGTAATATTCGTAATAATTCTTTATATGATATTTATATTTAAATATGTATATATATATATATTTCAATATCAATAATGTATATATTTTATGAATATGTCTTTGTATTAAATTAAATTCATTCCTGTATATCAATGATTTCGAAATTGAATTGAACATACAATTTAAATATGAATATTCCAGGCCTGGCTCGGCAAGGGTTGGCATGCCATGTCCTGCGCCGGCGCATGTGCGCCCAATGTACCCTCCAAAGTTCTTGCCCCTTCTCTGAACGCCACCGATTTTGAGGTTCAAGGTTGTCCCTTTGGCCCCCAGCATCACCAGTCCTGGTCTGACGCGGTGCCTGGAGCAGTTGAAGTTGTGTCCTGTCCACAAATTCAGCTTTGCAGAAGCGCTGAACCTACTACATATTGAAACTCTGAGGCAACGGGATCATCTGAGGTGAGTCAAACAAGATTTAGTGGACAACAATCGTTTGGTGTTGCTTATATATAACCACTCAAGGACTTCCTGCCTAAATCACCATTCAAGGAACCGAAAAATGTATCAAAATTGCATGTTCCCATCAATGAAAGCAACAACTGATGACCACAGCAAGCTCCTCTCGTGCTGGCTCATCCTCAATCTCTTGAGGCTCTGCATGCATCCTTTGGAGAGTGAGAGATTCAAAAGCGTGTGAATAATCTTTGCATACACAAAACGTTCTTTGACTTCAAGGTATGGTGTGTTTAAACAAAAAAACTGACAGGCATGGTTCGCTGCCGAGCTGCTGCAATGTTTGCCTAGCTGCATTCATTTCCCGCTGAGCCTCACTCATGTAGCCTTAGAAGCGGCAGCAGCCTACCAATTGAAAAATTGTGATATTGTAGAAGTGCCAAGATGCTCTCTGTCATCTCCTAGGTCCAATCATGTCACATTGGAATCCATGATGCAAAAAAAGAACAACCTGCATGGATTGAGTCAAGCGGATTTGAAGACAGGATGACTTCATCACTGTCTACCTGAACGACATGTCCACATCAAACTAGCTTCTCATTTGAAGCAAGTGGCTGTGATAGGTGCAAAAGCAAGGCGTCCACGAGTGGCCGGCCAGCGTTCGGTTGGACCAGACGTGAGATCGCCTCAGCTTTTGTGGACTGACACAAAGCTTTGGGTGCTTTCCTCCTCAACAATCAGCATCTTCGAGTTGTTCAGCGTGCAGTATTTCGGAGTGAAATCACCTTGTTGTTGATGTTTTCACGTTGAAAGTTGAAACCGTGTGGTTTCCTGCCTAACAAACGTGCATGCCTCAGTTTAGCTGTCCGATGACAGTCAAAACATCCAGTGCAGCAGAGCTGCCTATGTTGGCTCTGCAAAGACCCCAATCACCTGGATTGACATTGAAGACGACGGCAGCAGCATGTGCGAACGCTTGAAAGTACAAGGAAGATGGAGTCGCAAATGGTATTCGGAGATTCTTGATTGAAAACATGCAAAGCAAAAAGCTGATGTGCCATGTGCTTTTGAAAAGAAATTTGAACTTGTAAAACGTTGCAAATGTTTGCTGCATGACTTGCTGTGCCTTTTGCAATCTCGCCCAGCAATTGTGCCCGAGACCAACGCCTGAGATCACTGACTCCGAAGAGAACGGGACCAAGGAGAGGACAGGAGAGAGGACAGGAAAGAGAAGAGGGGAGGACGAAGAGTGAAATGTTCACTAGTAGTAACAAGAAGCTACTAGGAACAAGTGCATCGCTACTAGTAACAGGTGCCTTACTAGTAGTAACAAGAAGCTACTAGGAACAAGGTGGTTTGGCACCCTGAGTTGTCCACGCATCTCCCCAGACGGCAAAGACTCGACCGTCGGAGCCGTCGAGGCCCTCAAGGTTCGCAGGTCGAAGCTGCTTACCCTGTCGGAAGCACGAGGATTGAGAAATCCTGAAGGAAAAAATGACATTGGATCACACTATCGTCTGCTATCCAAAGCTTGCATAGTGGTCAGCTGAATGCAAGTGTGAAAGAAATCCACGACTTTTTTGGCCTTCAGCATCACAGCCATGGGTTGACGTTGGAATATGAAAAAATATAAGACATGAGGTCTCACATGTCCCGAAACGAGGCCAGACCTTTAAACCTTTAGTTGGCTTTTTGATTGAGAGCAGCTCTGAACACTGCCATGTGTCAAATGCCAAGCAAGTGGGAAGCACATGGAAGCATAGCAGCTGCTATGCCATAGCAGCTGGGCTCCGCTGCATGGCTCCAAAGTCACTTGATCATCGAGACTTCAGATCTAGACCCTCATAAGCTGGTGAGTCCAAGGACTGGCCCATTGAATGCAAGCCTCACGGGTGAGCGCAAGCCACCAGATCAAAGAAAGTCGAGGCACTGTTGCTTTGGCCCAAAGTCATTTAGCGGCTTTGAAAAAGCTGGGGTGCAAGCCCATATCAACATACATAGTCATGCCTGAATCAATGCTTGTGTTTCCTCATTTATGTATTGACCACACCAGCTTGAGCAGAATCAGGTCCCGGCCAGTCACGGCAGAGGTGAGGTCAGTCAGCAAGCAAAGGGCTGTCCTGCCCACATCTTCAGCCTCCAGTGAGGTCAAGTCTTTCAGTTTCGCAGCCAAGTCTTTCAGTTTCGCAGCCCACAAATTGAAAGTAGCCAAGAACAGAAGCCAAGCATAGTGATGCTTTGCAGTGTGGCGAATGAGCGATTTGCAACCAAAAAGCATATAGCGGTTGGTCAAGAGGGGCATTGTCCACCTCAGCACGGCCCTAGTCGCAAGGCTGATTGTTTAAGACTGTATATACAAATATGTTCTCAGACGAACATACAAGCGCATCCAAGCAGCCGAATAGTCCTTGGCACAATGCTGAAAAGGACGGCACGATTGGCACAACAACCCGTATTCTGCTACTGCTGGCATATCTAACAATAGTCGAAATCGCTGCTTTAGCAACATGCTTACTGGGAACCTTGCCCGGGATGGACAAGTGCATAATGGTGTGAATGTCTGTAGCATGCCACGTCATCTTCGGCTGGTCGAGTCTGGATGACAACTTTTCTATGCTAGTGCAAAGCCCTTATTCATGACTCCACGTTACCCCAACGAGCTCTACAAATATTGTCAGGTTTAACTGACTTATATATTAAAGGAAGTCTCCTTGTTGATAAACTGAGAAACTTCTGAGCTATGGAAACAATCGAACTCGTTACGCTGGAGTCACGTGTGTGCATGAACTTTGCATGTAGGTGTCTCTACAAAAGTCCTATGATCGGCGTTGTGCCGCTCCGGAAGCATGCTCGGTGGTGGAAACTATTGGACGAGGTCAGGACACCAGAGGCTGATCCACTTTGGACAAGACATCACTACATCACCATATCATCAACACATTAGAATTCACCACATTACAAATCACCATATATACTATACTTCAAGATATTGTAATCGCCACATGAAAAGCACGGCACTTCACCACATGACAAAGTAATTCATTGCACAGTATCACATGACACACAACAATCAACAACATCACACCCTCCTCACAACCACACCGCTCATCAGCGCATCACAGGTTGCGTCAAACAAAAATAATGTATATAAAGGCCAAAATAACACGTTGGTGGAAACGACCACCTCCCATTCATAGGATGCTACAGGGAGGGTAGCAAAAGGGAGGTAGCAAAGGGGAAAATCTCAATCAATGTTCATCGAGGAGTCTAGAGCAAATTCGAGTGAGATTGAGAAGGGTCTAGATAGAAACACTCAGTAAAATTGAGAAGACATGACTGCACACATCCTCTGCCTTTTCTCTGCTCGGTTTTCGAGTTCTGTATTGTGGTGAAACTGCTTGACTCACTTCTGACCTTTCTCATGCAATTCTCTGGTGAGCAATTCCGTCACCCTATCCTGGATCACTGCCCTTGAAGGAATGACCCAATTCGATCCATCTGCATTCCTCCAGTCTTTGAAGTGCACCTTCAGTGCGAGCTGAACGAATTCCAGCACAGTGTGGACAGCCGACTCTTTTGGCCCGACTCCACAAAATGCGGGCCACGATGCTGTCTTAGTCCTTTGAAATCCTGAGCCCTGCAAACTGGTGAATTCAATGGTGATGCGCCTATCATTGGGGAGCCACTTGATGTAAAGTCCAGGCACTTTGGGAAATAGAGAAACAATTTCTGGTGGCGCTGGTCGTTTCACTGCTGCAGCTTTCTTGATTGCATACCCACGCAAAACCGGTGCCTTCTTCTCACGAGCAGGAGGCAAAGTAGTATGTTCTGAGGGGCCTTTGCTCGAAGACGCTGGCCCCCCCGGATTCATAGTGTCATCTGCTGCACTGGCAAAGACCTCAGCTGGAGTGGGAGGAGGTGTTGACGATGATGGCTTCCCGGCGGCTGCAGGCATCTCTTTTGACCCCTCAACTTCAGGGTCTGGTTTTGGTCTCTTGTTCGGCAATCCTTCTTTGTGTTGCTTTTCCAATTGGTTCAAGCAACGGTCGACGATATCACGAAAATTCCCTTGCTCTTTCTCATCAAGCTTACTGACAGCCTCCAGCAATTGCGGCTCCATGCCATCATCTTGTGTGTCCTTGGTCTTCCCTGCCATTTTTGCAGCATGAGCTTGTCTCTCTTCTTCTGACAAACCTTCAAGGAAGTGGTCTGCCAAAACCCGACACAAGTCTATGATTTTGACCCGTTCATTCTTGCCAGTACCCTTTCGAGGAAGCTTGAGCCCCCAGCTAGCAATCATCTTTCTGTACTGCCATGCCAAGAAGACACGCCCTGATTTGACTGCAGCTGGGAGCAGGTGCTCTCTCTCACTGACTTGTTGAAAAAGAATATGGCCTTGGGCAAGCTCTCGAACTGCCAAAGGAATGGCGCATGGAGGCAAAGGTCTGCTCGGGCACAATCTCCAAGTGCACTGTTGACTAGCATCAAAGTTAAAGTGCCAGACAGGTACATGAACACGTTCTGGGCGGATCTCGAAAAAGACCTTTACGGACAATGGCACTGATCTCCAATAAGTCAGAAACGTGAATGTATGAATGGAGTCAACATGTCTTTAATGTGTTGGCAATTTGGGAACAATGTAATGAGAGAGATATTTCAATTTCTGTCAACACCGCACCTGATTCTCAAATTCCAAAACTTCAACAGGGATTGCTTGCATAGCAAACTCATGGAATCCAAGGCAGAGCCAAGTTTGCTTCGAGTGGATGTCAGTGTAAAACTCGCCAGTGCAGAATAAACTGCCTGGGGGCAGATCTGCAAATGGATAAACATGATGGCAACAGGAATAATCTATGAACCAACCTTGAATCCATAGACTAATGCTTCTGGCACATGAACACGTTGCTCAAAACTTATTCCCGGGAGCCTGCCCAGGAATCACTGACACGCTCAAAACCATGGTCCATGCAGTGCAGTATCAAAGACGTTGCTGCAGCAGAGTTAGGACGCGCAAGATGGCTGGCTTTCCTTGCCTCTGATACAATCTCCTGCGGTCGAGGAACTACCTGTGAGATCGAATGCTTGTGCAAATCATACAACCTGGGAACCTGCAGCTTCCGCCCTCCAGACTGAATGTATTCAGCAAAATCTTCCTTGTCCAGCTCCAGCTGTGGTAAGCCTCCTTGTTTGGCGTATGGGCTTGTGCAAGTGTAGAGCCACTTTGTAGGATTGCCACCCTGCCTCATGTTCTTGTTGTAGCGGGAGCATGCATCTTTCACACTAGAGAACGTGTTCTCTAGTGCGCCCTTGGTATTGTTCGGCCCGCCAAACAGTGCAAAGACCATCTCCTTCATCTCAGTGTTTGATTGAATGCTCCATCCCTTGTTGATTCCACACACAAAAGCCTCACGTGTGACCAACCAATGATTTGTTCCAACAGCACTGAGAAGATCTTGCAAGGCCTTCATCTTCGGGTTGTTCTCAATCAACTGCTCCACACGAAGAATGCCACGTGCAATCTTCTCGACAAGGCCTTCTGAAGAGGGGTCAGACAGTCTTGCAAGGCAATAGGGAAAACATAGCCCGTAAAAGGCCTGTGACCAAGCCCGGTTTGATGCAAGTTGCACCACCAATGTCCAATATTCACGCAGTAGTTGAAATTCCCTTTGCAGACTTCGGTCGTCTTCCCCTTCTTGCAAATCCCAGACATGTCTGGACGCTGGTGTCAGCCTTAGCATATCAACCGTTGATTCACTTGAGAACCTTTGAAAGAGTGCCATGATGGTGCTGTACCACGTCTGACCACTCGCCCTGGCCATCGCGAAACGCAGCATCTCCAGCTGCCCGTGGCTTTCAGCTTCAAGGTGGGATTGATACTCAGGGCGTAGATCCGATGAGACAGCCACAAGCATGCGCATACGTAGCTGAAGTAAAGGCTCTGAGTAGAGAGATTGGACAAACGCAATGGTAGAATTGAAAGATCTTCTCAGGGCATTGAAAGCCGCCCTCGTGGAAGGCTCTGCCTCCAACGCCATCTCCTCGTTTGAGCTCTCAGCTTCAGCGGCATTTGCCGGTCCATGCTCAGGGGCAGCATCACCATCACCATCATCATCTGAAATCCGATCTGGGTCCTTAATGTATGATTTTTTGTGACACTGCTTGACTGGCCAGGATTTGACCAATAGAAAAATCAACTATGAAAAGCATTTCTCAAACAAAAAAGCAAACAATGAGCACAAAGTAACACAATAAAACAGGATGAGCTTCAATGTTCTCAATGTCAATGAGGTGGGAAGTTGTTTCACTGAGAATGGACCACCGGCTGTCCAATTGGCTGAACGAATCGGTAATTCCAAACCAAGCCTTTTCCCTTGCCTTGCAGGAAAATCTAAGAAGTTGAGCACATGAATCAATTTTCCGAATACTTATGTGACAGCAGCAAAGTAAAAGGTTT